ACCTTTCCCCTCAAGCCACCAGCTGCCTGCATAAATATGTGGTTTTTCCTCATGAATCAGCCCCAGCATACACAATTGAAATTGAGAGGGAAACAGTCTGGTAAGCAATGGGGCTCGAATCTTCAAAGCCTCTTTTCCAGAAACTGGGAGCGTCATCAGGTAATGGAGGGCCCAAGTCAAGTGGCAATAGCTTTGCCCATCCGGGAAGGTCAGCATTTTGGAGTCAGTTTTACATTAGCACAAGATGTTTCATTAATACCAGTGTTGACTGGGATAGGAATTAGGAGTGGGGGACAGTACATGCTGGGCAAGAGTCCATGCATATTTTGCTTTCACAATCACTTGATAATAACACCGTATGAAGTGTGACTTTTTTTATCTGGGAAAAGAGAAATGAAATGATCATAATTCAGACATTACTCTGGTTCAAGTCTTTATCATCTCTTGCTTCAACCATTTCATATTTTTTCTGTCTCCACCCTCTCCTCTTTCCAATCCTGCCTCTAGAGTACATATACGACAATGTCATCTGCTTACTCAAGAAGCTTCGATGGCCCCTTTTGCTTCTAGGATGAAATAAAAACTTCTCTGGCCTTTAAAGTGCTTCAATACCTTGCTTCAACTTCTGGTCCACATTGATTTTCACATCACTTCCCCTTACATACTTTGTTATGACTAAACTGGTCTACTTACCTTTCTTTCATATTCACTATTCTATCCCTACCTCTGCACCTTTGCTCAGGCTATATTTCATGGTCTATCCCTTCTGCTTTTCTTCTTGGAATCATAACTCCATTCAAGGATCAGTACAAGGAAAATTTCTTATAAGAGACCTTTTCTGATGCCCCAAAGTGTAGCCAGGTGGCACAGAGAATAGAATGCCAACCCTGGAGTCAGGAAGATTCATCTTCCTGAGTTCAAACCTAGCCTCAGACACTGGCTATGTCACCCTGCCCGGTCAAGTCAACCCTTCTTGCCTCAGTTTCCTCATCTGTAAAGTGAGATGGAGAGGGTGATGGCAAACCTCTCCAGTATCTTTGCCAAGAAAATCCCAAATGGGATCACAAAGAGTTGGACGTGACTGAAAAACAACTGAAAAAAGTGCTCTATCCACCAAGTTTCTTTGCATTTAACTTAAAAATGCGTATTTTGTATTTACTTATCTATGGTGATATTATTTTTCCCTGGTAGAACCTAAGGTCCCTGAGGGCAGGGATTGCTTATACTGGACTTTATATCCTCAGGACCTTGCACAGTGCTACCAGCTAAATATTAGGGGCTTAATTTTGAATTGTGTACAATTGAATTGAGTTATAAGAGAAAACTTGAGCTTCTGACTCCTTTATCTCACTACCTGTCTGCTAGCAGAAAGAAGGAATACTTATTATTGCCAGCATTCATTAGGGAGCCTTGATTTTTGTTGTTGTTTAGTCGTTTCAGTCACATCTGACTCTTGGTGATCCCATTTGGGCTTTTCTTGGAAAAGATACTGGAGTGGTTTGCCATTTCCTTCTCCAGCTCATTACACAGTTGAGGAAACTGAGGCAAGCTGCGTTAAGTGATTTGCCCAGGGTCATAGAGCCAGTAAGTGTCTGAGGCTGGACTTGAACTCAGGTCTTCCTGACTCCAGGAAGTGCACCTAGTTGTTTGATTTTGGTTTCATGCAAATGTGCTCTTTCACAGAGCTTACAAAGGTAAATGCCTGCAGGAGTGTGTTAGAACTAGCTCCAATTGTTAAATTGTTACATTGTTGAATGTGGCTAGGGCCAGAGCTGATTGTTAAATTTTTGGTGTGAGCATTTATACTTTAGAAATCAGCAAATGTAAATCAGGGCTTGATTTATTGTTTTATTGATTGTCTGGACTTAAAAAAATGATGAGGAAAACATTCCCTTAAACTTAAAAGTGTGTCTTGCTTACATTTTTCATAGAGTCGGTTTTTAAACATTTGTCAACATACCACTGTAGGGGATACTAACTCTTAACATCTGCTCCTCTCCTATAACCAGATATGAGTGATTGGGGCTTTCTTAACAAGTACTTCCCAAGGATGTGATAAACAATTGCTGTGACCCTTTCCTGTGATTTTGTATGGGGTAATGATAATAATAATAACAACAACAATGGCAGCTTACATTTCTTCTGGGCTTTAAGGTTTACAATGAGTTTTCTCATAATAATTCTCTGAGATGGATCAAACATATTATCCTATTTCACAGGCAAGGGAACTGAGTAGTTAAATGACTTTTCTATAGTTATATTACTAATAAATGAGAGAGCTAAAATTTGAACTCAGGTCACCTCTTGTAACAAAGAATAAAGGGAGAGAATAAATCAGCTCAGCAAGACATTGACCAAGCCCAGCAGTTGATGATGTATCCATAATCTCCCATCTCTTCAAAGAAAGGAGGGAAATGTACCTCTCTCTCTCTCTCTCTCTCTCTCTCTCTCTCTCTCTCTCTCTCTCTCTCTCTGTTTCTCTCTCTCTCTTCTCTGTCTCTCTCTTTCTCCTTTTCTGTCTCTCTCTCTTTCTGCCTCTGTCTGTCTGTCTCTCTCTTTCTCCTTTTCTGTCTCTGTCTCTTTCTGCCTCTCTCTCTCTCTCTCTCTCTCTCTCTCTCTCTCTCTCTCTCTCTCTCTGTTTCTCTCTCTCTCTCTCTTCTCTGTCTTTCTCTTTCTCCTTTTCTGTCTCTGTCTCTTTCTGCCTCTGTCTGTCTCTCTTTCTCTCTTTCTCTTTTTCTCTCTTTCTCCTTTTCTGTCTCTGTCTCTCTCTCTCTCTGTCTCTCTCTCTTTCTCTGTTTCACTCTCTCTCTGTTTCTCTCTCTCCCTCTCTTTCTCTTTCTCTGTCTCTTTCTGCCTCTGTCTGTCTTTCCATCTTTCCCTCTCTCTCTCTCTCTCTTTCTGCCTCTCTCTCTCTCTCTCTCTCTCTCTTTCCCTCTCTCTCTCTCTCTCTCTCTCTCTCTCTCTCTCTCTCTCTCTCTCTCTCTCTCTCTCTCCCTCTCTATCTCACTCTCTCTATCTCACTCTCTCTTTCTCTTTCTCTGTCTCTCTCTTTCTCCTTTTCTGTCTCTTTCTGCCTCTGTCTGTCTCTCTTTCTGTCTGTCTCTCTCTGTCTTTCCCTTTTCGGTTGAGCTTGATCACAATAATTAGACAGTGTTAAGCTTATTTTTCTTGTTCTTTCCATTTATACTGCAGTAGTTATTGCGCATATTGTTTTTTCTGGTTTAATCATGTTTTTAATTCCATAATGAGGATGGCCTTTCATAGAAATTGAGGGGAGGAAGATACTAAGCCTCACTGAATCAACATGTTGCTCTAGGCTACATAGCATCCAAGGTATTTATAGTCTTGTGGCTTGTCCTGGCTTCCACTAACAGTATATGAATGGATTTAAGAGTTCAATTTAATATTTACTTGTTTAAAATTGTAATATATAGTTTTTACAGAGGTTGTACTATGTGGCAGGGAATTTGATATAGCAGAAAGAGCCCTGGGCAGGGAGTGGGGAAAGGGAGGGGAACAAACATTTATAAGTATCTATTATGAGGCAAACAGATATGTACAAATATCTCATTTAATCTTAACAACAACCCCAGGAAATAAAGTTTATCAATATCCCTATTTTACAATTGAGGAAACTGAGGCAGAGGTTAAATGACTTTCCTAGAGTCATACAGCAATAAGTATTTGAGGGTAGATTTAAACTCAGGTCTTCCTGGTGCCAGGCCCAGTGCTTTGTCTCCTGCATCATCTAGGAGACCTAAATTCACTTATTGTCTCTGCCTCTAACTGACTGTATGATCCTGACAAATCCCCTCCCTCTCTGTGGGCCTTCATTTCCATAGAGTGATGGTGTTAAGAGTCTGATATTGCCTAAAGTGCCTGCCAACTCTGAAAGTTCGGGGGTTCCCTGATTAGGTGAAGTGCATGATTAAGTGACCTAGATATAGCAGGAAAATGGTAAAAAAAAAATCAATGTAATGAAATGGAGAGGTAATAGGCAAGATGGTACACAGGGAGAGAAAACGTTCTGTACAATGGAAAGATTAAGAATAACTAGATAGTTGCATATAGGCTGGAGAAAATATAGATCTTAACTTAAGCAATAGTTCAATCAGCAAGATGGTGAGTTCTATTGAGTTGTGTTCCTGGACTCAACTTTTGGCTATGTCCTTAGATTATGTATAAAATCTTGCCGTGCCTCTTATCTGCTCTGAGGGCGGACATGGCTCGTGCTACTAAGCCATTGGTTATTGCCTTCTTTAAAAAGAAGTGTGATATTACAGAAATGCACTGGATCAGTAGCAGCCTGTATAGGTTGTCTGGGCACGCTTGGTCACATTGTTTGGTTTATCTTTGTTCTCCCTTGTGTGTCTGGCTCCCCTAAAGTGGTAAAGAAATGTTTATCATCCATCCATCCAGCTATCTATCTATCTATCTATCTATCTATCTATCTATCTATCTATCTATCTGTCTGTCTGTCTGTCTGTCTGTCTGTCTGTCTGTCTATCCATCCATCCATCCATCCATCCATCTATCTTATCTTTTCTGTCCATCCATCCATCTCTCTATGTCTCCACCATTTGTCTCTATTATAGCTATCTTCTATCATTTATCTATCATTATATCTATCTTCTATAACCTATCTATATATGTCTTCTGTGAGATTTATTAAGTAATAGCAGGAAAGGCATTTTACAATCTCCTTCTTAGGCCAGCTTGAAAACCCACGATACTAGTTATCTGGAATGGGTTACTTGCACTCCTGTTGTGCTACTTAAAGGAAGGGGTATAAGTAGAAGTCCTTTCCATCCCTAAGATTTAATGTTGGCAAACAGTTCAGCTATTGCCTGGAAGTGTCAGCGCACCTTGATAAGAAGGGGAAAGTATAGATAAGAACAGATTGAGCAGAGGAACAGTACCTTGAAATCAGAGTTTCTTTTCCCCCAGGAATCTTAGCATCTGAGGGATAACTATTCTAACAATCACATTATTTCCTGCAGAGAAACATGGTGTGTGCTGCTGGATATGGTTATTTCTTTCATCTTGCAACCAGTGAAACTTCGAAAGCTACTCTCCTGTCCTTCAGTCAGAATGTAGCCCATTCCTGCACAAGGTATCTCCATTGGAAACTCATACAGATATATTTCAGCAACAGGGCTATATTTGGGCTGTATGTTTGTAAAACTATGCATGTATAAAAATTTTAATTTTACATATAAAATGTAGAATTCTTTTGTAGTTAATGAGCATCCATGATTCTAGTATGTAAAGCGTTTTGCATCGCAAAAGGTTGCCTAAATTGATCTTGCAGTATAATTTATACGCAAGACTGGTTAATTATTTTTATTACTAGTCATTCTCAATGTCTTGAGCACTTTCTGTTTAGAGTATTTTAGGAAATAATCTGTACTCCTCCAAAAGGGAGGTGAGTAACTTGATCTTTGTTTTGCCAACAGGAAAGTGAGATAACTTGGCCAAAGATAGAGAGGAGGAAGTTCATAGTCCAGGATTTTCTTTGACAGATAGTAGTAGATAGAGGCATGTGAAAGTAAATTAGAAACTAGAACATGCATAGTAGAAAATAAGTAAACCTGATCATTTTAGGTTCTCATTTCAAGTTTAGTCATCTGCCCAATTTAGGGATCATGTGCTAGGGATTTTTTTGGGGTTACTTTTTTTTTTCTTCAGCAATTGGAAAAAAAAAAGAAAAAAAACCTGGGCCTCTGATTTCTTTGGTATAGAGAATTCCACATGAGGAAAGGTCTTCCACTGATGCCGATAAGCATCTCTTATGTAATTTGCAATCTTAGACATTTGTTTGGGTCACTGAGAGATTAAGTGGCTTGTCCAGAGTTACACAACAAATATGAGAGAGGTCTGACTTGAACCCAGGTTTTAAGGTCAGAGGAAGGCAGTGATATAACGGAAAGAACCTTGAACTCAGAGTCATAGCACCTGAGTTCAAATCCTGATTCTGCCATGTATTACCTATGTGACCTTGGATGAGTCAGTGAATCTCTCTGTGCCTCAGTTTCCTCATATGTAAAATAAGTCATTTGGAAAGATTATCTCTGAAGTTCCTTTTAGCCCTATATCTAATAGGATCTCATTATCCTATCATTCCTGATTCTGAGGCCAGATTTCTACCTTTTTGGCCATTTTGCTTCTTTAACATGATTAAGAAAAGGTAGTGGAAAAAGGCCTCAACTCACAGTGAGGATCCTTTTAATGTTTCTTCTTTTTCTTTCTTTCTTTCTGTTTTTTTAGGCAATTAGGGTTAAGTGAATTGCCTAGGGTCATACAGCTAGTAAGTGTCAAGTGTTTGGTCTGAGGCCAGATTTGAACTCAGGTCCTCCTGACTTCAGGGCCAGTGCTCTATCCACTGCACCACCTAGCTGCCTCCCTTTTGACATTTTACATGACATTACATCTATATGACATGTCCATGGGCAACTGTTCAGAATCTCAATTTCTCTATGTATAAAATGGGAATAAAAATACCTACATCACAGGGTTTCTGTGGTGCTCAAATGGGATGATATGTGTGTATACACACACGTACACAGATATATATGTTATACATATAAAATGCATATTATATATAGCATTTTATAAATATTAAAGCAGTATACAAATACCAGTTATTCACAATTTTACTCCTATTCTGTCTTTGTTTATCCTGTAACATTACAAATTTTGATTTTTTAAGGTCAGCATTTGAGAGTATTTTGTACATACTAAGATTGACAATTATTCTTTCATAAGATGCATCATAGAGATGCTTCTGTGTTAGTTTGTGGTTCACCCACCTCAGGCTTTTCTTTTTGTTGTTGCTAATTAAGATTTTGTGAATAGAGTGAGATAATCAGCACAATTTTTAAATCAATTAATCTTTTTATTAAAAATAGATCCATTGAAATATTTATGCAAAACTGTCAAACTAGTTATGATTTTGAAATGTGAATATACAATTTGAGAAAAATTTAAAGACATCAAATTGTAAAACTAGGTATAATTACTTGCCTTCCTTGCTAGTTCTTATCTGTATTAAGTCGTTGCTTTCATTTTACCTTGAGTCTTTCAACTCAAAGTTAGAAATTCTTCCATAGCTGATTCAGTCTTTGTTCATTTTTGTCTAGCTTCTTTCTTGGTATTAACTGCTTTTGCATCTTCCACAGCTTGTAGTTATGGTGCTTCAGTTTAGGAAATCATTCTAGTTATTACCTTCCCTCAATAGCCTGATTCTGAAAAAAAAAATCCCCAGAGATTCCAGCTTCTTCTTTTTGTTCTTTTTTTTTTTTGAGAGAGAGAGAGAGAGAGAGAGAGAGAGAGAGAGAGAGAGAGAGAGAGAGAAAGAGAGAGAGAGAGATCCTTATTTTTGTTATTTTTCCATGAGTTAGATGGGGCAAACACTCAACAAAAGAAATTATTGGGTCATAAAAGGATCTCCACGTCTGCCGTTCTGATACTCCTTTATTATATTATAGAATGAAGTTATTTGCTGATAAAGATTTACCTTTCCAGTCTTGATTCTTTGCCCCTAGAAACTAGAGCCTAGCTATTTCTCACTTTGAATAATCCTTTAGCAACTACCACACCACACAATTAGATACAAACCTGCTTCTGATAGTTTGGAACTAACAACAAAAGTGATACCTATGCCAGCGTATAATTTAAAAAATAACCATGCATTTCAACAGAGCTTGGTAAAACTTTGCTCAGATGTGATTTCTTCATACTCTGATATAAGGAAGTCCTAATTACTGATACCTACTTTCCTGGTCTTATATATACCTTATATTAATAATCTATACTACATTAAATCTCTGAATTCACATTCTGCTGCTTCAGAATTTCACAGAATCCCAAAGGTACAGAATTTAGCATTGAGAGGGACCTCAGCAGCCATCTACTTTTACTGTACCCCAAAGGAAGCTTCACTGTCAATTATAGCAACAGTTATCCAGAATGGTCCTCCAATCGGAGTTGCATCAGGGAGAACCATTCTGCCCATTATTAAATAAAGAATTTTCTAAACCAATTAGGAACATACATAAAAATATAAGTGGGGTATCCTTCACTTGAGACAATAAAAGGTTTTCATATTTTAATAGCTTTCATTTATATTTATAAAATTTATTATATTCACTGTGACAATAAGTCAATCAAGATGATGAGAATTACTAGAAATGAATGATTACTACATAGATGATATTCTTCTACTATTTTAGGCATTGCATATCAGGAGTGGGGAACCTGCAGGCTTGAGGTCACATGTGGACTTCTAGGTCCCCAATGCTGCACTTTGACTGAATCCAAACTTCACAGAACAGATCCCCTCAATAAAATATGAAACAGGAAATCTTAATCTTTTTGTGTTATGAACACCTTTGGAAGTCAAGTGAAGTCTATGGTCTCTTCAAAATAATGTTTTTAGGGGCAGATAGGTGGCGCAGTGGATAGAGAACTGGCCCGGAAGTCAGGAGTACCTGAGTTCAAATCCGGTCTCAGACCAAACCCTTACACTTACTAGCTATGTGACCCTAGGCAAGTCACTTAACCCCAATTGCCAACCCCCCCCAAAAAAAAACAGAAGCAAAATAATGTTTTTAAATACATAAAATAAAATACATAGGATTTCAAAGAAAATTGATTATATTGAGATGCAGTAAAAAGTATTTTTTTAAAAATTCATGGCCCCATGTTAAGAACTCCTGATATATATATATATATATATATATATATATATATATATATATATATATATACTGTATACATATATATGTATATATGTATACATATATACATATATACATATATATGTATATATGTATACACACACACATACATATAAACTTAGTGTTAGAGAAAGCAAAGTAGAGTGGGCAGAGAGCTGGGCTTATGATATGGAGGTTGCAAAGGCTTCATGGAGAAGATGACCTTGAAGGATAGATGGAATTCAAATAGATGGAAAGGAAATGGAGAAAGGGCTTTCCAGACCGAAAGAAGCAAAATCAATAAAGGTACAAAGGCAGAAATTATTATGGAATAAATATAAAACATATGCTAATTTGGAGAAGAAACTGGCATAATTGTAGTGAAGGATATATATGGGAGCATCAGGCCATCATATTAGCTGGGCAGAGTGAGCCAAGTGACATAGCACTGAGGAAGCTAAAAGAAGTCTGCGCTTGAAATGAATAAAACTCTATTTTTTAAAAATTATTCTGTGCTTCAGACTTTCTATTAATTCAGAGAAGTTTTCTGACTAATTGTCCTTAACTGGTGGGGTTTCATTTTGATGCATAAGTTTTAATATCATTGGAATCTGAGTTTGAAGAGATCTCAAAAGCCAACTTGTCCATCTGGCCTAAGCGTGAGCAGGAATCCCTTATGTTATATCCTTGATAAGTAAGTGATCACTCAGCTTCTACTTGAAGATGTCAAATATTGCCTCTGACACTTCCCATCTTGGTGGCCTTGAGTAGGTTATTTAGCATTCATATATTTCCTCAATGGCTTTTGAGGTCTCTTCCAGCCCTAATTTTTTTTTATTAGTATCTTGTAATTTTATAGCTTTGCATATATTATCTCATTTGAACCTCATAACAACCCTATGAGGGAGATGTTATCATCTCCATTTTACAGGTGACAAAACTGAGGGTAACAGATGTTTAATGACTTGCCAAAGTCACATGTCTACTTGCTGTCAGAGATATGAATTGAACTCAGGCCTTCCTGAGTCCAAATTCAAGGCTCTTTCTACTGAGCTAACACTGAGCCAAAGCTCTAAATCTTGCTCTTATGACTTAAAAATGAGAAAGGCGCAACCTTCTGCAGAAACCCATTTAATGGTTAAGATGCTTTGTGTTTGCATGATACGTATAAAACAGTGGAAAATTCCTGATGTTCTCCATTGTTGAGGGCTTTGGGTTATTTTACAATAATACCTTAGAGAAGGAGGACAGAAATAAAACTACTAAACGTAGCTTAAGCTTGTTAATTAAAAGAACAAATTTTAATGAATCAGATCATGTAAAAGTTAAATAACTTAATTAACACAAAATAAAATGGTAGTTCTAGTGCTATCCAAGTTATAGTGTATATTCTGAAACTAATGGTGGGAAGAAAATTGTTTGAAAAATGAGGGTGGTAGCATTTAGATCATTGGGAATACCAGATAAATAATAATCAAGGCTCTCAATCTCTATGAATAACTTGTGTTCTTCTGCCTTGCCATGAAAAGGATAGATGTTATCAAATCAGAAAATTGCTGATCATGCCTTATAATTTTCTTTTATAGGTATGGCCTCCTTGTATATCCCAGGTTTGAACCACCACGAGCAAATGACACTGGTCCCACTTTGTTCCAGAACTTCACAGTTTGGGGAAGCCAAGGTGGTGTTCAGGTAAAGTCTAAGCTAGCCACCTCTTAATGTCCTTCATGATTCTCTTAGGATAGGAGAGCTGTGAAAAATCTTTCATTTCCCTATTACTAACTGAGGATTTACTAAAGAGGGGAGCAATTATAATAATGATAACCTGAATTATAATTTGGAATTAGATTATAAGCTACTCAAAGCAGGGACTGTATCTTTTATTTTTGTGTATATACTTTCTTTTAAAAATTTTTTTAATGAACAAAAGTCTTTTCTCCCTCCTTTCCACATACTCAAGGCTAGGGATGATATCTTTTATTTTATTTTAAAGCAACTTTCTTTTTTATATTTTTAATTTAAAATTTTAAGCAGACAAAAACATGTCTTTTATCTCTCTCTCACCTCCCCTTACTGGAGAAAAAAAGAGGACCTATAATAAATATGCATATTCAAGGAAAGAAATGCCTACATTGGCCAATTCCAAAGAATATATTCTTCTTTGCATTCAATAGTCAACAAGCATTTATTAGCTACCAATTCTGTTTAATAGACTGTGCCTGGTGCTTAGGGGACAGCTGTAACTATTCCAATAGAGAAGTAGTACTTTGACTGTTTCCATCCTTCCTCCCTTACTCTTTCTCCCCTGCCTTCCTCTCTCACTCCCCATCTCTCTTTCTTTCTGTCTTCTCATCTCTTTGTATGTATGTATATATATGTATATATATAGTTGTATACATATATATGTATAAAAGATATAATACACACACACACACACACACACACACACACACACACACACAAAGACAGTCATAGTCAATCCTTAACTTTTGCTGGAGTAACGTTCCTAGAAAATTGCCTAAAAGTGAAAAAACAGAATGTTGATATATTAAACCTATGGGATATAGGGGGTTAGGTTCCCACAACCACCAAAAACTATAATCTTTCACTAGAGATTACTAAAAATATACTTTTGTGCATATAACTCTTTATAAAAAACATTGGTTCTGATAATATGCATTTTCCCTAACATAGTTACCATGAAATAATCCATAAAATACAATACATAAAATAAAATTGGAAACATGCAAAACATTTTTTCTCGCTTGTAATTCCCTAGAATTATGTGACCTTTTGTGCTAACATCTCAATGAAAAGTAATTGATTTTAGATAATATTCATTTTTCAGAACCTATGGAATCTACAGGATCATAAATACTCTACAGCAAATAAAATTCTCAATACTAAAACATTTTTTAACTTGAATCTTATATTCTACTGTGTCAGATGACAGTGTGAGAATATTGTACTATATACTATACTGCTATAAACCTCTCTATCTTGACCACCCTCTGAATACTGAGGGAGAGGTTTCTGGAACTTTGGTCACTGCTTTTAGAAGGTGACAAGGTTGGTGACATCACCCCCAATGTTCTGTCCTTTATGGCTAGAGGGTGGCATCGGAGATCATGAAGGATACACCATCTTGAAATAATCTGTCAGTGATCTCTGCTTCCCCATTTGAGATCCTTAAGGGTCTCAGAGTATGGGAGCAAAGCAGAAATGAATAGTTTAACCTGTGATTGATGATGGGATCAGCAAACAATGAAAATACGCAATGGATACACAGGGAACTCTTTATAATGGTAGGATGAACAAGAGCAGTGAAACACTTAGTATATACCAGCCACTTCACAAATTTGCATGCATCATACCTCTTATTTTTATCTCTATTGTGCATAACAAGTTGCCAACAAGAAAATGAAAATGAGTTATTCTTGTGAATATTGAGAATTGATTATATAAATATACACATATCCTGATTTATATCTATATTCGTAGTACATATAGTTCTATCTCTGTGTATGTATATGTAGGACCCTAAGTAAATAATTGCTCAATAAATAAATAAGTTATTATTAACTTTCCAATGACTATTTTCCTTTGAAAATGACCAGCAGCTATGGCATAAAATCAGAAATTTTTAGAGTTGAAAGAGACCTTAGGGAACATCTAGCCTACTCCTTGTCATTTTAAAAATGGAGAAACTGAAATCCAGAGAGGTTAAATGACTCTCCAGGGTCAGTGGCATGTCCCGTAAGACCTTCAACTCTATTGCTTTTCTCCCTACCCTGTTCTGCCTATGCTAATATCTGTCCTTGTTCATGGACATAGTGGCTCAAGTCCAGATTTAAGCTATAATCAAGACAGATAAATATTGAGACAGACAAACAGTGAATCTGTGCTTATGCTGTATTAGTTATTTCTTTATAGATTGCTAGTAAGATTGTTGAAGGGCAGCTAGGTGTTGCAGTGGATAGAGTGCCAGCCCTGGAATCAGGAGGACCTGAGTTTAAATCTGGCCTCAGACAGTTACTAGCTGTGTGACACTGGGCAAGTCATTTTACCTTGTTTGCCTCAGTTTTTCCATCTGTAAAATGAGCTGGAGAAAAAAGTGACAAACCTCTCCAGTATCTTTGCCAAGGAAACTCCAAATAGGGCCGTAAAGAATCAGACATGACTAATCAACTAGATAACAATAAGATTGATTCTCATAAAACTACACTTTGGAGGAAGATACGAAGCTCAGAAATTTTTGGAAACTCATTTTTCTCTATTTGCACTGTATGAAAATCATGAACTTATTTTAGGTGTTTTAAATATATGGGTCCTTCACATTGACCTCATTAAGAGGTTAGTTATCTTGAAAAGTAATGAAACATTTACAGAAGTTATTGCCAAATGGTGCTGACCCAAGTGGTAACATAAGAGCAGGACAGGAACATCTGTGCTAGTGTGGATACTCAAACCTTTTCAATCCCTTGAGATTCAGTGCTTTCTTCTTTCTGCATGGGGGGGAGGAGCAGTAGAATATAACCTCCTTGAGGGTAGGCACTATTTTTTTTAATATTCATATCTCCATTGCCTAGCACTGTGCTTGGAACACAGAAGGTTCTTTTTTTTTCTTTTTTTATCTTTTTGGTGAAGCAATTGGGGTTAAGTGACTTGCCCAGGGTAACACAGCTAGTAAGTGTCACGTGTCTGAGGCCACATTTGAATTCAGATCCTCCTGACTCCAAGGCCAGAGCTGTATCTACTGCAGCACCTAGCTGCCCCAGCAGAGTAGGTTCTTAAACAATTGCTTACTGGATTGAGAAAAATATAGCAGGTTTCTTTTCTTTGTTTGTTTTGTTCAGTCAATACTTATGAAATATAAGCTTTGATTAAAGGATGATCATGCTATATAGCTCATTACCATAACACATGCTATTATTTTATAGATTTTCAGAAGTAGCAATCTTCAGCTTAAAAATTTCCAGATTTATCCGTGCAAAGATTTTGGGATTGACATCTTGGAAAGTGATGCAAATTCTTCAATTACTGATAGCTTATTGCTTGGTCATTATGCCTCAAAGGTAAGTATGGTTCTTTGGGATGTCCACTGATAGTATCATCTTGGAATGCTCCAGTGAGATCTGTGTTATGTATTTTAATTCAATCAAGTCAAGTCACCAAACGTTTGCTAAGTGCCCATTATGTGCCAGGCACAGTAACTAAGCACTGGTGATACAAAGAAAAGGGAGGAATAAAGGAGCTAGGTGATGCAGTAGATAGAGTGCCAGGCCTGGAGTCAGGAAGACTTGCATTCAAATCCGGCTCCAGACCCTTTGCTTGTTCTGTGATCCTGGGCAAGTCATTTAAACCCTGTTTGCCTCAGTTTCCTCATCTGTAAAATGAGTTGGAGAAGGAAATGGCAAACCACTCCAGCATTTTTCTTCAGAAAACCCCAAATGGGGCCATAAAAAGTCGGACACAACTGAAACAACTTTAACAACAGCAAAGTGAAGAAGACTGGAAAGTCTTAACCGTAATAGGACTCATTCAGTGAATCTTAAGTGTCATTGGTAAAAGGGAAGGAGCCCATCATTTGGATAACTATACTTATAGAGATCAAAACTATACCAAGCTCTGTTTTTTTAACCAGTAGCAAGGGAACTATGAAATATTTTTCTGATCTTAGTTGATAGCATATTCAAAAATCAACAATACTAGTTTTGCCAACAATGGAAAGATTATGGAATTTTAAGGGTGAAGGAGACTCAGGTTAGCTAGTCCACCCAGTGCATATCTTAATAAGAATCCATTCTATTACACCTTCAGCTTCTATCTGGAGACTTAAAGTGATAAGAAACTTTAAAATTTAAAGAAAGTGATAGAAACTTCTTTCCCAAACAACTCATTTCACTTTGTGAAGTTCTAGTTGTCAGGAGGGAGAGAACATGATGTAATAGATAGAGCGTAAGGAGTCAGGAAGACCTGTGTTCAAATCCCAACTCTGGCACCAACTAGATGTACGATTATGGGCAAAACATTTAACTTCTCAATGCTTCAGGACACTTTGTAAGTTACAGTTAAGTTGCCAATCCGTACACAGTACACTGGGAGTTTCCTGCACATATGCACCTCCTGCCCCAATGGTTAGGATGGTTTTCCTTAAATAAGTTGGAAATCTACCTTCCTAAAACTTCATTCCAATACTCCCAGTTCCACCTTCTCAGTCCCACTAAAACCTTTAAGCACTCTCCATAGGTAAGCACACAGACTGACTCCATTTATGCCAAGCCAGCTTTCTTCATGAATCCTTTGCCCCCATGCATGTCAGACAAAGAAACTTCTGAAGGTAGAAGGAATAGGCAGAAATGGAGATAGTGTGTCTTCATTTCCTTAGATGAGAGGCATTGTGGCAGAGTGGAATAAGAAGTGGACTTAGAATGAGACCTATGTTTTATCTTCAGTTACGCCCGATCCTTGTTGTGTAACTTCAGGCATAGAATTATAGGTATATAGATTTAGAGTTAGAAGGGGCCTTAGAGGTTATCTAGCCCACACCCTTCATTTCACAAATGGGAATCTGAGACCCAGAGAGATTAAAAGACTTGCCTAAGGTCACACATCTAGAAAGTGAAACAGCCATAAGCCATTTAATTTTTTTTTGACCCTTTTTTCACCTAGAAAACAGAAATAATAATGGTCACAGTGTTTTTTGAAGCTCAAATAAGACAATACAGGTAAAATACTTTGTAATAGTATAAAGTTATGTCTACTACTACTACTGTTGTTTTTTATGAGGGTTTCCCAGTGCTGTCCCAAGCCTACATTTCTGAAACAATGACAATTGTTATAGCTCTCAACCACTGCATAGTTGAAGGAATGGCTGGTGACTCTTTGACTTGAGGAAGCCTAGGAACTGCTTCTAGGTGACTGTCTATTTTTTGAAACATGAAACAAAAAGGGCCAACATGCCCCTACATTGAAACTGGGAAAGATGAGATGTATGGAAATGAGAGCTAGGATAGGCAGCAGGAGAGTATGGTGTGTGTCTTGGTCCTCTTTCATGAAGTTCATAAAGCTGCCATGTTGATGGCTTATATGGCTTACAAGCTTGATATTGAATTCATATCAAAGACGTGTAACAGGCAATCTGGCAACCTCTAGTATGTAATTGTGTGGATTAGGAAATCTGTGGATTGAGCGTAAATCAGTGTTGTACAAATCAGAACTGGGCAAAGACAGAAATAAAGAAGGTTCAATATCTCTGGTTCTAATGATTTGTCCAATTTGTTTTTATGTATAGCACTTTGAAAATCTTCAGTGCTATGTAAATACTAGCTATCATCATCATCATCATCATCAATGACTATCATGCCATCTATTACTTCTCCTAAGGGACTAATTCATAAGCTAATATTCACACCTATAAGGACTTTTTTTAGGCACTGTATTAATGCTAAATTTCCTGTCCCATTATCTTCCCAAACATCTTTTGGACAATCCTCATGAGGGGAAAATTAATGCTAATCTTTCCTTCTTTCCAAAGCATTAATACTTGTGAGATTTTATGATTATTTGGATTTTATATTTGTTTGGAGAGGATGCTCCCCAGATTTAAAAGCCATTACAGTATTGGATCAGAGGCCTTGAACATTCCCAGAAATCTCCTTTAACCCTTAACCCCTTCTCCCACCAAAAAAAAAAAAAGGCAGAAAAGAAAAGAGGAAAAGAAGAACCATGGAGATGAATAACTAACTTTCTTGTTAAATTGATGTCACAAAGTTTTAATTGATGTTAACTAGACATCATTATTAATGGGAAAATTACATAAATTAAGATGTAAATTATGACAAAGGGTTATTATCACGAGATAATCAAAGATAATCACACCCTGGGGGTGCCACTAGTAATGCAGTGTAGTTGAATGCCTCTAAATCCCTTAACGGATGCATTACTAGAGTTCTCTGTTGGGAAACGTTAAACAAAACTCCCCAGGTCTGTTCTGGACAAAATCTGATTGCTAGAATCTCCAAAGGTTAATCTTTACACTGTTGTTGGCATGAGGGAAGTCATTCTTTTAAATCACAGAGCTACAAGATTGTAGAGGAAGAAACAGCCTTAGGGGTTATCAAGTCCAACATCACTCCTATTTCCCACCATTTTATAGATGAGGAAACTGAGGTCCCAGAAGTAAAGATAAAAATTTCTTCAGAAATCACAGAACTTTTAAATCACAGAACTGGTTAGTGACAGAATCAGAAGAAGAACCTAGACCTTCTTGCTATCATTTAAATATAATTTCTATTCTATAGAGAGGCTGCATAATATGTAATGGATAGATCTAACTCAAAATCCAGAAAGACCTGGATTCAAATCCTGGCTGTGCAACCCCAGGTAAATAATTTAATTTTATGGTACTCTAGGTATTTTATGACTTTTAAGTTTCAGAGAGGGTGATAACCTGCACTGATGGAGTGAGTTTACTTACCTGGAAGTTCCTTTTATGGAAAAAAATCATGATTCTAGTCCCTCCTCTGTATTTTGTCATGAGAAATAGATTCATGCAACAAAATATAGTTGTCTTGGGGATTCTGTTGAAGTTTTATAAACATTTTCTATCAGAATGATAGTCGGGGATGTTAAAGAAAACAGTGAATGATCTTCCAGTCAGAAGAACTGCATTTAAGTTTTGGCTCTGATATTTCTTAGCCATGTAAAGTGCTTGGTAAACTTTAGAACCTGATGATGCTGCAGTTGTGGGCTACTATTTTTTTTTGGTTATTTGAATGGTCTATTATCCTAGTGTGAGGCATCTGAAAATGTAAGTAAGATATGGCTAGGCTACTACATGAGGTTGGTTAGGACCCAAACCAAAGTTTATAAATTACTTCAGTTTTATCAAATATTGTATTATATTCATATTTTGAACTTCTTCAGTTGATGGGAAAACAGAAATAACCATTGTGCCATCAGAATAAATAGCACTTTACTATGGATATTGTGTCTTCCCATTTGCTATAGTTCCTAGTCTAGTGAATAGAGCATTGACTTGGGAGTTAAAGTTCTAGCCTCACTGCCAAAATGTTGCCTTTGCCTCATTGTCTCATAGACAGTGCAAGTATAGACTTAACAATCAAAGTGAAGAGACTTCAAATTTTTCAGAGAAAAAGCTCTGTATGAGCCTCATGGATCACTTTAAAAAACCAATTATTGAAGATCATACTTGCAAGTGTGTCTGAGAAGCTAATGTGTATGCGTATATGTATATAATATATTATATATATATATACACATATGTGTATGTATATATATATGTATATATATATATATACATATATACATATATATACACACACATACACACTCAAAAGCTATATAACTTTATGTAGAATGCTAAAAAAGGAATGTGCTTGCTTCTCTGTTGGCCATGTCACTTTGGATTCAGCCACTGACTTTCATGTGGTCCATTCTTTTAGGAGTTGGGATTTTCAAAGTGTTTGGCCATTCTCAGACCAACCACTTAGAATTGTAAACATGCAATCATGAATAGACCTGAACCTACAGAGAATACACTACTTTCTGATAAATTGAATATCTGTGCAAGATTATTTATCTCTTACTCAGACGTATCTGTGTTTTATTATATTAAATGCAATCTTGGTGGCTAGGTGCGTGGATTAATTTCTTGTGAGTTAATGCCCAGAGTAATAGTATTAGTAAAAACTCACGTATATAGCATTTTCTGGTTTGCAAAACAGTTTCTTCATCTCCACTTTATGAAATAGGCATAATTATTATACTCATTTTTCAGGTGAGGCTTAGATCATAGGATTATAGAAATATGATATTATGATACTAATTAGAATTTATATAGCACTTTAGGATTTGCAGAGCACTTTACAAATATTGTCTCTTCTGATCAACTAACAACCTTGAACAGTAGGTTATCTTATTTTACAGATGATGAAATTGAAGTGGGCAGAGATTAAGTGACTTGACCAGCGTTACAAAGCTAGTAAATGTCTAAGGGTAGATTTGAACTCAAGTCTTCCTGACTCCAACTCCAGTAAACTATCCACAAAGACACTTAGCTACCTAGGGCCTTAGAGACCATATAATCTAGGAGTGGGGAATCTGCAACCTCAAGGCCACATGTGGCCTGTTAGGTCTTCAAGTGCGGCCCTTTGACTGAATCCAAACTTCATAGAATTTTAGAGATCATCAGATCATATATCATAAATTTAGAGTTGGAAGGGATTTTAGAGGCAATTTAGTCCAATGCCCCCATTTTGCAGATGAGGTAACTGAGAATTAACCTGCTTAAGGTCACACCCCAAAAGTACCAGTAGTAAATGTCAGAGCTAGATTGGACACACATTTTCTGATTCCCAAGTCTAAAACTCTTTCTAATACACGACGTTGCTTATCTATTTTTAGGGATGCTTTTTTAAAGGTAACAAATATGATTCCTCAGTTTTATAAGACTAAGGACTAAGGGGGGTCTTTGGAGGCCATCTAGCCCAACCTCTTCTTTTTTGTAGAGAAGGAGACTGAGGCCCAGGGGTGTGAGCTGATTTGTCCAAAGTCTTTGAGCTAGTAAAAATATCACAGTTTACTCTGCCAGAGTAAATAAAAAATTCAGAGCTAATAAGAACTTCCTTATATTTTTCTTTGGTTTTCCAGTGTAGAGGAGTCTTTCCAGTCAAGGGGCAGAAAGAGGCATGGCTTGGAAACAGCTTTCATGATTGCCATGTAGCCTCAGCTTACATACAGGAGTGGGAATAAATCACTAGAAAAGTTCTCAACTCAATTTTTATTTGATATTTTAAAAAGCACATATATATAAATATATATATATATATACATATATATATATATACATATATATATATATACATATATATATATATATATATATATATATATATATATATATATATATATATATATATATGTAAAATAAATCAACAAACATCTATTTTGTCTTCTCCTCATTTACCCACCCTGGGGAGGAGGAAGAAGGAAAATAAAAGCTTTGTAATAAATATGCAGAGATAAGCAAAACAAATTCTTTCATTGGCCAATGTCCAAAAATATGCATTTCATTCTGAATGTTTAGTGCATCTCCTCTCCAGCAGGAGGGAGAATTCTTCACTGGTCCTCTAAAACGGTGATTGGTCATGATGTTGATCAGGATTCTTAAGCTTTTCAATGTTCATTTCTTTAGTGTTGCTGTTATTGTATAAACCGCCCTGTTTCTGTATCAGTTCATTCATTTTATTTGGCCAGTTGTTATATTTTCTTTTCTTTTTTTTACCATCAGCAAGGGAGCTCATGTATGTCAGTGGGAGTAAAAACCCCTAAGAGACAGGAATTGTTGGTGTCCAAAACGACCTTTGCGAATTTTGATCGAAACAACTGCATCGCCATGAGAACTTGTTCGAGCTGCTATCAAGGACAAGGTGAGTTCTAGGGGTACGTGGTCCGGGAAGGAATCTAGACTGAAATGCAACAGAGTGTTATGAAGAGTAGAGGTTATCTAGTGATTTTTTTTTTTAGGCAATTGAGGTTATATGACTTGCCCAGGGTCACACAGGTAGTAAGTGTCTGAGGTTAGAGTTGAACTCAGGTCCTCTTGACTCCAGGGCTAATTGCTCTATGTACTGTACCACCTAGCTAATAATTACTTCTTAATCATGGAAATAAATCAACAGAGATATTAGATGAAATCTACAGATGAAAGGCATATGAACCAGTTGCTTAGATCTTCTAGGCCACAATTCTAATATTATTGGTGTTATTGTTATTGGATAGCAGAACTATTCAAATTCAGGATAATTTATTATTCCCCATCCCAATCTCTATAAAATAAAGAAACAAAAACCTAGGGAAACTTAAAGGTTATTTCAGTAAAACAAAAAGTGAAAGGAAGTAGATGATAATCTGGCCTATTGATCATTGCAGACAGATCAACCAAGTAATTCAATCAGAAGGAGTCAGTTTTGGAGGAAAGTAAATTCTGCAAAGTAAGAATTAATGCTCCTTTGACAACCTTTTTTAATGCTATAAAGAACTTTTTTTTATCTTGGCATGGAATTCATATTCATATCCCATTAACGTTATGAAAATAGAAATAATATCAAATTTAGTTGTTTAGAGGCCAGTGTTTCAGGTGATGAGGGATCTCTTCAGGAATTGCTTTGCTGCTTCACAATTTTCATGAGATACTGAGTAAATCAATGAGAGTTACCACTGTGTAATGAAAAGAGGATCGATCTTTGAATCAAAAAATTAAGACTTATTAGTTCTGTGACCTTCAGCAAATAAGTCACTTTACTTTTCTAGGCCTCACATTTCTCATCTGTAAAATGGGTATAATGACATTTCCTCTATCTGCCTCATAGTTTTTGTGAGGAAAGAAAACATTGTAAACCATAAAATAGTATCAAGATGTGTCTTGTAGTGATCACACAAATGTTAGCTCTAAATCAAAGCCTTATTTATGACTTCTTATGACAACTCTTTCTGTGTGCTTGGGTACATCTCTACTGGGTGGTCTCTGATGTCCATTTCATCCCAGATTTCTGGGATGCTTTGACATGATCTCTTCCACCAAAGGGTTTAAAATCTGCTTGGAGAAGCAGGAAATAACAATAATAATAATAATAATAACAAGATAAAGCAGTAAGGTGAGTACCAAAGGAGTGAATGGACAGTAAATGCACCCCAGAGTCAGGAGAGTCTATTTTAGTTTTTCTGTGAACATTTGGGGAATTTGATTCAATGCAACAATATTTATAAGCAGTACATGAAAGACAAAGTGGCAGGGGGTGGATTGGGAAAATACTGGTGACATTTTGTGCTAGAGATTTTCTCAGGCAGTAATGTCAGGTTCAAGCAGCTGGGTGGCACCATGGAGAATGCCAGGCATAGAGTCAGGAGGACCTTAGACACTTATTAGCTGCGTGATCCTGGGCGAGTCACTTCACCCTGTTTGTCTCAGGTTCCTCATCTGTAAAATGACCTGGAAAAGGAAATGGCAAACCACTTTAATAACTCTGCCAAGAAAACCCCAAATGGGGTCATGAAGAGTCAGACACAACTGAAAAATGACTGAACAAAGATTTTGACAGGCTGCAATGTTGGACCTCAAACCTCAAATTAAATAAGAGATGACTATAAAGTTATAAAATTTATACGTGAGTCGAAAAGAAAAACAAAAAACAACAATAATTAAAAAGAAACAGTAGCACAAGTAAGAGATAGAGGAGCATGAGTAGTCAGTAGTTTATTTGAAAAAGCTTTGGATTTAATGTGGTATGAGTCCAAGAGTGTGATATGCCAGCTGAAGAAACTGATCATGATCTTGGGCTGCATTAAGAGAAATATGCTGTACAGGGGCAGGCGGTGGTGGTCACATTCTTCTCTGTCCTAGGCAGGCTACAGTATCTGGAACATTGTGTTTCAGTCCTGATGTCATATTTTAGGAAAGACATTGATTTACTAGAAAAGGGTGACCAGAGTCGCCAAGAGGCTAGAGACCATTATAGTGGAAGCATTTTCTAGTTCTCTGGTTTGCTGATCCTTCTCACAGGTACAGGAAAGTAACAAATTAAAAGTCCTGGCCAAATGTACTGTTTAATGCATGTTTATTACCTATATCTAATCTATATCTATCTATCTATAGAGAGATACATATATACATATAGAGATGCATATATTTATATCTAAATAAATATATCTTTATTGATATATACATAGCTCTGTGTGTATCTTTGTCTGTCTCCTTATATTGTGTATTCTTTGAAGTTTAGAGACTGGCTCAAGTTAAGAGTTAGGAAATTCGTACCATGGACAGAATTAATGACCTCTTTTGTTTTTTTGTGGTTATTTGTTCACCTCAGCTGTAAGAATTCATTGATAAGAAAGGTCTCTCAGATCCCAGCCCAAGGCAATGAGAGCAGACCCATATCTATGAGGTGAATAATACATTAGCAGGGTCAGCCCTGGGGTGATCCAGACTCTCTTTCCCTTCCTTCTCTCCCTCAACCAATTATAATTCTCAAAGATTCCAAAGCATAGCTTTGGGAATAGAAGAAGCAGATAATACCAGTAATCATTATCCTAGAATCTCTGGGAAGAGAGGAAACTGGTGAAATATTACCCACATATATCAGAAAAAGAAAAGATAAATATATAGATACAGATATAGATAAAGATGATATAAATGTTGATATATTTATGGGGAAAGTTGGGAATCATTTTGCTGCTGTCATCCAATGAATTGGACCCAGATGTTATACTGCATGACTCCAAGCCTGTATGGCATAGGGAATAGAAATCTAATTGGTCATATAAGAACATCTCTTACAGAAGGAGGTAGCAGCTGTTTTTTGGGCCTTATAATCCATGATCATTTGTGACTACAAATGTCTTTCATTCATTTGTAATAGTGCTTTAAGGTTTACAAAGTACTTTATAAATATTACCTCATTCTTTTCCTCACAGCAATGACTGGAAAGTTATTCTTCCTCTCATTTTACAGATGAGGAAACTAAGGCAGGCAGGGGTTTAAATAACTCACCCTGCGTCACACAGCTAGTAATTGTCTCAGGGAGGATTTGAACTCAGATCTTCCTGACCTCAGGTCCAGTTCTTTATTCATTGTACTTACCTAAATGTCGTGCACTGATTCTTTTTCATTTCTCTAGTGGGGCTCCTGGCTTTAGAGAACATTTGTTACTAAGTCATAGGGAGAGTTAATGGGGTAGTATGATCATAGTCATTCTTTCTGCTTGCACTTGAACACCCAGCACGAAGCACGGTGCCTGACACATAATAAGTGTTCAGTAAAATGTCTGTTGACTTATTCTTTGTGGACAAGTGTTTAAAAAGTAACAATATTTTATCTGAATTCAATCCACATAGTATATGTGGATGTTATTTTAAAAAGAATGTTGTTTGAGATCCCAGCTTTTTAAGATAACTGTTACAGGTATTTCATTGTTTATATGTTTCAGCAGGGCCTCTTTTATATAGAGTATGGCCCTTATCTTTGTGTCTACCAATGAATCTGCCATCATTTCCACATGGAAATTTAAGGGAAAGCAGAGGGCAGTTGAGAAGTCCCAAGGGTTTAGGAAATGTCTTTGACTGGACCTTTCACGTGAAGGATCCATGAAAATCCAGAATCCTCGTATGCCTCTGGTGGACACATTTGTAATTAAATTCATTTTAACAAGCATTTATGAACTGGCTACTATAGAGCAGGCTCTGTGCTAGCAAGTTGGGAAACAAAAGAAAAATGAAATCCATTTGATCATTTGTAAAGGGAAACCCAAGTCTTAGCAGCATCATAGAGAAGTATACTTAAAAGTTTTCCTTCCAAATAAGATCGCTGGGATAATAGTAATGAACTTTGTTAGAATATTAGCTCCTTGAAGTCAGAGGATTTTTTATTTCTATCTTTGTCTGCTCAGCTCCCAGTACTGTGGCTAGAATGTAAATAAATGCTTGCTAATCAATTGATTGAGTAGTTGATATTATGAGATTTGATGAGGTTTTTTTTTAAATCTCTTTCCTATTTTCAGGTGGATTTACTGTGAAGACTAAACAGCTGAAGTTTCTAAACTCTCCTAACCGAGTAGCATTCCCATTTCCTCATGCAGCTATTATGGAAGACCAGGATGGCTCTGTCTCTGGGAATAAGGGAAGTTACCTTCTTGCCTCTGCAGAAAACCTTGCCTCTTCCTGTCAGGTCAACCAAACCTTTGGTCAGACTGTCAGGGGCAGTGTTTGTGGCCCAGATGTAATCCTTCATCGTATGTCTATTGGCTTGTAAGTATGACATCTCTCCATTGTCATCCAAGTGAATATATCAAGCATATACCATGTTGGGTCTCTTCTAAAGTAAAACAGTTCCTCACTTTCTAGATTTAAATGATTGGCTAACAAGAGGGGTATATCAAGGGATGGAAAATAAGTATTTAAGAATTACATTTGCCCAAACTCTAGGTTGTGCCATGATTTTAAGTTGTCATTTTTTTTTTAACCACTTAGCCTTAGATGTTTTTGGGAATGGGCCAAAGGCCCCTAAATCCTAATTGCCATTTTGGACTAACAGGATTCACTTCTACAACTTCTGAGTAACAGGAAACTTGAAATAGATTTAAATTAAAAATGTTGTTTAAAAAGTTTCCAGCAGTGTCCATTCTCATTTATATTCACTTTGCCCAAGTGCACACGAACTGTTCACTCTGCTCCAGGGTAGCAATTGCTGTAGCCTCCCATTACTTGCAAAGTCGCTTCTCTCCAATTCATTTTTTTCCTCGTTAATTTCATGAAGTATTGGATTCATACAACATATTTCCTATTAATATGGGAGAAAGCATTTCTTCGTTATGCTGCTCAGACTACCATTAAATCAGCAGCCTGGTTGTTTATAATGTATAATAGGGTGGCCACTGCTCTGCTAAACTTGCAGCTGATGATTGCCAAATGACCTGGTTTTTATCTTTTTCATATTCATTTTATGTTTATTTTCCCCTTATCTTCTTTCTCCCCTTTGTTTTCAGGCATCTTATTTCCTTGTGTTGTGACCAATCATGGGCTCACTAACATTTTATTTAAATTGATGAATTTGAGATGATGGCATGATAGATACCAGAATGATTTTTGAGTAGCCTTTGCTAATAAGCATCTAATTTTATTCTAGTCTCATCAGCTTGGAAAATGTTCATTATCAATTTCTATAATTATGACCAATGTCAGTGGGTCACTATGGTCAAAGAATTCACCTAGCAGCTAACCTTCTAGGGATGAATCTTCTCATACACAGCTAAATTGGTCCCTGGGTAGCTTACTCAATCTAGTAAATGCGAGGTGGTACTTGAAGCATTCCTGCCTTGGTAAAATATGACAGATAGCGTTTTACTGCTATAGCCTTTAAAATCCCAGGGCTAACTTTACACCTATGAAAAAACGTTGAAGTAAGACTTCGTGAAGGCATATAGATGTGACATCTAATATTAGTGAACATCAGTGACTTGAAGATATGTAGCACCAACAGAAGAGGTTTTCTTCATAATTCCTATCATAATGCCTGACTGAAGCTTAGCTTTTGTCAGAACCTGGTGATCTTTGGTTATGTCGAAGTTTTGTGGTGTGTTGTGGCAGCACTGTCTCAAAGAATTCAGAGTCAGATCACGCTACTCTGAGTGTACAAGCATTTATTGAAGATTGACACCCCTCAGAAGTGGGTTAGGTTCCAAGGGGAACCAGCAACTTAGTAAGCCAACACAACCAAATTTATAGTGTATTGATGCTGATTACATAGCAGAAATTATGAATATTAAAAAGGAGAGAGGGATTTGTTAAAGGATTAGGTATTAGGGAAGGATTCCTTCTATGGTTTGGTGGTTAAATATTCTGGTTGTGCTGTTTTCTGATTGGTTAGCTATTGCGGTCCTGTCTGGTCAAGATGGATAGTTAGGTTTTATGGTCCTGTCTTGGGTTAAATGGATGATGTGATTGTGGTTGAGTACAAGAACACATCTGTTCAAATATATGAATTGGATCTGAGGGCAGTGGCTGTATTGAGTCTGGGGGCCTGTGGCATGGTTAACGTCAGATTGTATGGTTACATCAGGACATGCCTGCTGTTCGGTGGGTCCCATAAGGAAGTAAGAATGTTGGGGCATCCCATCAGTTATGTAAGTGACTCTATAGAAGACACTATGTAGTTAAAGTTACTCCAACACTTGACTGTTTTGGGAATATGTAAGTCTGTGGTCTGCTTTTCATAAGTTTTTCATAAGGTAAAGAGACCAAATTAGAAGACTTGGAAACCATATCATATGGTTAGCAGTGCTCATTAGGCAGTACATCTTGATTTAAGCTTTGAAAACCTTCCTAACAGAGATGTTCTTGGTTGCATTTTTATATAAAAGTCCTTGAGGGCAGGGAACTCTTTCCCATTTTATCATCGTATGTCCAGTTCTAAGTATGGTGCCCGGTACATTGGTTGTTGTTGTTGAGTTGCTTCAGTCATGTCTGACTCTTCATGAGCCCATTTGTGGTTTTCCTGGCAAAGATACTGGAGTAGTTTGCTATTTCCTTATCCAGCTCATTTTACAGGTGAGGAAACTGAGGCAAATAGGGTTAAGTGATTTGCTTAGGGTCATACAGCTGGTAAATGTCTGAGGTTGGATTTGAATTCAGGTCTTCCTGATTCCAGGCTTGCTGCTCTATCTAATACCGCGTTACCCACTTTGTGCTTAATAGGCACTTAATATATGCCTATTGGATTAAATTGGGTTGGATGACTTATTAGCTCTCTGGATTTCCTCTGAGTTCATCCCACCCTGCTTCTAGTCATTTCTAATTTCTTGTAGTTAGTGTGGCAGCTTGGTCATACACATGTTAAAATGTCTTTCTAAACCTATCAGAATATATAAATAGTGAAAATTCAGCATAGTTCAATCCATCAATCAACAAACATGTATTAAGTACCTGCCATGTGCCATATACTGTGGTAGGTGCTCAGGATACAAAAACAAAACCAAAAAAATTAACAAAGTACCTGCCTTCAGCGAGCTTATGTTCTGTTGGAAAGATGCATATTTCTTGATTTTCATTGGAGCAAAGGTTAATTTAATGTATCGTCTTGGCAAAAATACTTTGAGAGAGTACCTTCAAAGTCTTTTACAGGAAGAAAGAGAGTGATGAGGTTATTTTTAAGCTGTTTGTTGCTAGGAAAAATTCTACTGCCTTGACTTATATAAGTACATCCTTCCCCCTCATTTCAGTTCTCCCCAGTCTGACCTTGTGCTCAGGGCTCATATGCTGCCATATTCTGTGAAGGTAGAGGGGAATGATGCCCTGTCCTATAGCTTCACTGCTTGTATCTAAACAACACTTTTATATCTAAAAAACACTTTTTCTAGAAAGCCTGGGCAGGTGACACTAAAATGGCAGAGTCAAGCCAGCATTTTTATAGAGCTCTCCCAACATATCCCTCCTACAACAGCTTTTTAAAAAATGCCAAACCAAATTCCAAACTAATAAAAAGTCACAATGAGTCATATTTTCAGCCCAGGGCAGCTAAGAAAGACAGAGAGATCTGCAGACACAGGGGTGGGGGCTGTCTAGGAGTGTGAGTAGAAGTGACACCACCTATGGGCTATGACATTAGTGGCACTGGGAGCAGCCTTGTACCCAGGGATGATAAGTGACTTGGGCAGAAGGCAATCCCAGGGTACCTGTCCCAGGACTGGGAGCTGGAATGGGTGCCATCTGGTAGGCTCTGTCACTCACCTAGTTCTGTATTGCAATTGCAGGGCAGGAAGGAATGGTCATGGTTGTGAGGAAGCAGGGACCCTATCCGGTTAAAAATAAGAGCCCAGATCAGGAAGGTAGTGACCTGACCCCTCCACATATCACATCACTTTGAAAGCATTGAAAACTTACAGGCCACCACTGAGCTGTGAAAGAGGTAGAAAGAGATAACAGACAAAAGCTCAGGCCAGACATCCCTCCCACCCAAATCAGAGTCTAAATTTAACATAAAATCCAAAGTAAAGAGATAGGCTGGAAACATGAACAAACAATTACAAAAAAGAACCTGACCATAAAAATCTATTATGGTGACCATGAAGCTCAATACAAAACCCAGAAGAAGACAATGACTTGAAAAAAATCCACAAGGAAGGCCTCAAGAGGAAAAAAAAATGTAGATTAGACACAAGCCCAATAAGGATTCCTAGAAGAGCTAAAGAAAGAGATGATAAATAAAAGAACAAAAATTATTTTAAAAATCAGATACAAATGGTAAAGGAAAATTGGGAAAAAATGAGAGGTATTCAAAAAAATATGAAGAGAATTAACAGCTTGGTAAAACAGGAACAAAACATAATGAAGAAAATAACTCCTTAAAAATCAGAATTGATAAAATTGTAAAAAAGGTATAAAACATCACAAGAAAATAACTCCTTAAAAATTAGAACTGGGCAAATGGAAGCAAATGACACCATGAAAATCAAGAAACAATGAAATGAATTCAAAAGACAAAAACATGAAATGTCTCATAGGAAAAGAAACAAAAGAACTGATGTGAAAAATAGACTGAAGAGAGATAATTTAAGAATTATTTGAAAGTTGGGTGGCTGGGTGGTACAGTGGATTGAGCACTGGCTTTAGAGTCAGGAGGACCTGAGTTCATATCCAGCCTCAGATACGTAATAGCTGTGTGACCCTGGGCAAGTCACTTAACCCTGATTGTCTAAAAAAAATAATTATTGAACAACCTGAAAGCCATAGTCAAAAAAGGACCTAGAGGGGCAGCTATGTGGTGCAGTGGATAAAGCACTGGCCCTGAAATCAGGAGAACCTGAGTTTAAAGCCAGCCTCAGATCAAGCACTTGACAGTTACTAGCTGTGTGACCCTGGGCAAGTCACTTAACCCCAATTGCCTAAAAATAAAAAAAAAATTAAAAAAAGGACCTAGATATCATATTTCAAAAAATTATAAAATCGTCCAGATATCTTGGACCCAGAGGGCAAAGCAGAAATTGAAAGAATCCATTGAATGAAAACTCCCAAGGAATATGATACTCAAAACCCAGAGCTCAAAGATAAAGGGGAAAATATTACCAGCAGCCAGAGAGAAAATATTCAAATACCATGGAGCCACAGTTAGGATGACACAATTTAGCAGCTACTACTGTAAAGGATCATAGTGCTTGGAATTGTGAAAGCATTGATATCATGAAAGGTAAAGGAGTTAGGATTACGATCAGAAATAATTAACCAGGCAAAACTGAGTATAATCCTACATCGAA